AATCTAAAATAAAATAAATATTTAAAAATGGTTCTAAACTTTCATGCACTAACTACAGACCTATTTCTCTTTTGTCTAACACTAGTAAGCTTCTTGAGAAACTTAAGTATTCTAGAATGTACTCTTTTCTAAACTCATTTAATTGTTTAAAAGATTTTCAATTTAGTTTTCGATCAAAACATTCTACTTGCCATGTATTAATAAGTATAACGGAAAAAATCAGGAAAGCTCTTGATACTGGTTATTTCGTTTGTGGTGTATTTATCGATTTACAAAAAGCTTTCGATACCATTGACCATAGTATTTTGATTTCTAAATTAAAAAATTATGGAATTCGCGGTATTGTAAATGACTTGTTTTTAACTTATCTTTCAGATCGAAAACAATTTGTAAGTGTTAATGGTTTCAATTCTAGTTATAAATCAGTTTTGTGTGGTGTTCCTCAAGGTTCTGGTCTAGGTCTTCTTTTGTTTTTAATCTACGTTAACGACCTAATCAACTCTGTTCACTTCTCTTCAGTCCATCTGTTTTCTGATGATACAAATCTCTTGCACATCAACAAATCGTATCATTCTTTATGTAAAAATGTTAATTCAGATCTAAAAGGTATAGTTCACTAAATGCTAACGTAATATGTCTCAACACCGAAAAAATTGAACTAATTTTTTTTTAATTTCCAAGAAAAAACAATTTCTTTAAAAATGTTGAAATCAAAACCAAAATTAATAGTAAACGACTATATCCTTCAAGAGTTATTAAATATCTTGGGGTATTAATTGATTGTAATCTTTCATGGAACTTTCATATTGATGAACTAAGCAAGAAACTATCTTGAGGTAACGGTATGCTTTCAATAATTCGTCATTACGTCGATAAAGTTATACTTAGGAGTATTTACTATGCATTATTCTCATCTCATCTTAGCTATTGTTATCAAGTTTGGGATCAAGTTGGAAAATATCGCATTAACAAGTTGCTATCGTCTCAGTGTCAATCCATTAGATTAATAAATTTCCAAACAATTAAATCAGATACATCGAAGTCCTACACTTTTCATTCCAACATTTCCAGCGCTAGTAAAGTATGCTTATCTTCTTTTTGTTTTTGACTCCTTAAATAAAAACATACCATCTTCTATCACAAACTTGTTCACAGAACTATTAAATTCCTAATCAACTAGAAATATACACAATGGAAAACTAAATGTACTATCTTTTAAAACCCAGAAGTATGGTAAACATTCTATTGTTTATCAGTGCATCTGTGAATGGAACAGGAGCCTTGCATGCATTTTGAATAAGTCCAAAAAATATATCCTAAAATACCTTAACTCCATCTTAAACAATATCATTTTAAAAAAATTCTGAAAATTTTTTATTCTAACTTTTGGCATTATTATCTTAAATATTATTTTAATTTTCTTTTCGTAATTAGTACAATTATCATCAGCACTTTTTGTTTATTTTTTTTATTTTTTATTAGTAAAACCTGCAAATTGATTTCTACATGTTTGTTTTGATGTATATTTTATGTGCTTTGGTTTGTGCGTTTATGGTCCATGTGTTTCAGTGTGTGTCTTTGCTTATTATTACTTATATTATATTAAAAATTGGTGCCAATCCTTTGATCAGATTTCTGTATGGGTGACACCATCCTAATAAATCATTAACTTATTATTATATTAATATTAGTTATTATTATTTTTTCATTGTAATTATTGTAAACATACTTATTATTACTATTACTATAATTTGTATAATTATTTTTTTTATCTTATGTTATTATTATATATTTTTGCTATTATTATTATTATCATTATTATCAAAACTATTGTAAAATAATTTACGAAAAATAAATAGCTTGTTGCTGTTGTAGACGATAAGATCCAACTCTTTTATTATATATAACATTAGTGATTTGATTTTTACTTTCAATTTATATCACGATTTATTGTAATTTTTTTATTTATTTATTCTCTTGTTTATATTTTGGTGTAAAAAAGTTTTAAACTTGCAAAAGTTTCTGATAATGAGATTAATATGATCTTCTTTCAGAAGCGTTAAAAAAAAATTTTAAAAACGCCTTAAATAAATTCTTTTACTAAATCATTTTTAGTTCGTTTTTATATGTGAATAAATATAATGTGAATAAATAAAAGTTAATGCAGTTTATAAAGTTTCAAATACTACTAACATTTAAAAAAATAGATACCTGAAGGAAGATCAGTTAGATCTTCATGGTCGACAACACGGGTTTCGAAGTGGAGGGGCACAATCGTCATATTATAAAAAAGGTCCTCTATATCTAGAAGCTTCTTAATAATAAAAAAAAATTCTTAAGAAAAAAAGTGGTGGAGCCAGTGCCACCCTGGTACCCTTTCCCCAGTGTTATCGAGACTTGATCTTGTCGTCAGTATCTTGTACTAGTGTAAACAAAATGATAGGTTATAAAGTAACTATAAGTATAAATAATAAAATAATATATGCATATGCGTATCACTTTATAACATTTTTAACAATTGTTTCCAATATATAAATAGTGTTATTAAATTTTTATGACATAAGAAAGTAAAATATTTTTCTGCCTAATTTTCAAAAGATACAAAGAAGTATGAAGATCAAAATTAAAATTAGAAAAAGCTATTTTATTCCATAAAATAATTTTGTCTAATTTTAATTTTGATCTACTATAAAATTCCAGTATTTTTGGAAACTTTAGTACCAACATAATCAATATGTTGTTTCCATGTGATGTTTTCATCAAGGAATAGACCTAAATGTTTTGTGACGCAACCTCTTTTTATTTTAATTTGGTCAATGAAAATATCAATTAGAGTTGGGGGTAAATAACGTTTTTTAGTTATCAAATGAAAAAAAAATCTATTTTGTCTTGTTAATATTTAGGGTAAGTTTATTGCATTCAAACCAGCTAGAAATATTTTTAAGTTTTTCATTCGTAGTATTAAGAGTTTATCAATACTGTTACTAGGGAAAAAAAAAAAAAAATTACGATCATCCGCAAACGTAATAATTAAAAGATTCGAAGCTTTATGCAAATTAATGAAGATTAAAAAAAGAAGTGGCCCCAAAATTGATTCTTGTGGAACACCACATGAAATACCTAAAATATTTTTTTTGGTAAGGATTGTTGCAAGAAATTGTTTTTGGTTTGTTAAATAATTTGAACGTAATTTCTAATTACGCCACTCACTCCGTAATATTTAAGTTTATGAATCAAAATGATACGATCGATTGCATTGAATTCTTTTGGTTAATATAAAAATATATCTAACCTGAATTGTAAATTTTTGAAAGAGTTAGAGATTTCACGGACGATTCGGAAAATTGAATGATCAGTAATACTATTTCTTTTAAAACAAAACTGATTTTTATATAAAAAATTTTGTATTTAAAATAGTTATCTATTGTACCTAGTTCTCAAATTTTTAAAAATATTTTTAAAATAGAGATAGATCGGTAATTACTTATTATATATTAGTTCTGCCTCCTTTTTTGTAGATTATGATAATTTTGGCTATTTTTAACTGATCATGAAAAACTCTCTGATATATCGACGCTCTGAAAACTTTAAAGAGAATATCTTTTAATCGTTCAAAGCATTATAAGACTAGGGCTTGGTCAGCTTTAACCGAAAAAAAACTTTAAATATTTTTGTTAAATTTTTATTCACGTAAAGCTGAACGTAGTAAATTGCTCAACTTTACATGAATAAAAATTTGACCAAAACTACTGACGTTTTTACGTAACGCTGACCAATTAAAAAGTAAAAGCAATAGCATATTTTTATTCACCTGGCCTACTGTTTCCGTTAATTTCATCAGGTTTTTTTTTTTAAATAGATTCAAATGACATTTGAAACTCCTAAAATGATAACTCAGAAGATAATGAACACAACTTGGGTATTAGGAATCATATTTACCAGTTTGAAACCAATGTCAATAAAGAATTAGTTAAACTCACGAGCTATTAATCTAGGATCAAAAACATCTTTGCTATCCACTCTAAATACTTGCGTTAAGGAAACAAATTTTCCACCAATTTTTCTAATATTTTCCAAGTGCGTTTAGAGTTATTCTCAACATTTTCAATTAATTATAAGTAGTTATTCTTTTTTAAGTTTTTACAATAAGATATTAGCAATCTTTGTATAATTTTTCATTTAAAGGTGTCTTTGTTTTTAGGTCATATATGCAACTTTTGTTTGATCTTAGGTAAAATTTTAAAGCCGTAAATTATTTCATTGAGACAACTAACACATTATTTATTTATGATTTTTCGAGACTATTAGAACTACGGACCTTCTAAAGCAAAAACTTCACCACGGTAAATATTTTTTTGCTTAAATTAAAACACGAGACGGTCTAATTAGTCTTAAAATGTTACTAATAAATACTTGAGTTCTTTTGAATGTCTCTATAAAAATAAGTGATTGAAAAAAAGATATTATAGTAAACTGTAATAAAAAAACTAAAGATGAAATCACGTTTGTATGTGTAATAAGATCACCATAAAATTATAATTAAAGATTATTAAAGAACTGGAATTAAAAAGAAATAAAAAACACAATTGTATTAAGTTTAAAACAATTAATTCATATCGTAAACTCCACGTATTATTTTGTACTTAATCCCTGGGCAATCTTGCACTCGACCACCACGAAATAAAACGACGCCATGCTCTTGAAGATTTGCTTTTTCACCAGGTATGTAGGCAGTTATCAGCTTACCGTCATTTAGTCGAAGGACAGCGCACTTTCTCTGAGCAGAGTTTGGTTTTCTCGGTGCCCTCACAACAACTTTAACACAAATACCTTTCCTCTGGGGTCCGTACAAAATCCGTCGACTGTCTGGAACTTTAGGTTTCGGTCTTTTCTTTTTTGTACGGGGCTTTTGAAAACGAATTTGATTTAAACTAGGTAAGTGACGTCTCTGAAACAAATTGGGACCAAAGTGTGTTTTTAAAAGTAAGTTTTTCTTTAAATTGACGTTTTGTGGGGGAAATAATGAAAAGAAGGCTTTAGATGCTGGCTGCTTCAATAAAACGAATGAATTTATTAGGCTTCTTGAAAAAGATTTAAGTAAGTTAGTCATTTTCAAACTAAAGAGAAAAAATATAACTAAAATAGATAATTATAACAAATGTGAAGCTCCAGCGGCGTATCCAAGGAGAAAAAGACCTAAAACAACCACGACCCCTAATTGCAAAAGTTATTACGCTGTTGGGAGATAAATATACCCCTCCCTCCACCTCAAAGATTCAGGATACACAATAAGGATAAGCACTAACAATACAATTACTAAACATTTGTGTGTGTTTATGTAATTTTATAAATAAAAAAATCCATTTTTATTGAAAAAAAAATTATTGTAACATTTTTTTAATATAATGTAATAAATATTTCATTGTGTAGAAACAAAATATATATATATATATATATATATATATATATATATATATATATATATATATATATATATATATATATATATATATATATATATATATATATATATATGTATATATATGTATATATACATGTATACATACATATATATATATATATATATATATATATATATATATATATATATATATATATATATATATATATATATATATATATATATATATATATATATATATATATATATATATATATAGAAACACACACACATACACACATATATATTAAATAAAAAATATATAAAAACACATTTTCTTCCAAAAAAATTTTATTGTAACATTTTTTTATATGTAATAAATAACATAAAATGAAATATATTTCATTTTTTAAATTAAACTATTGTTTGAAACTATATAAAACCTTGGTTTTTGTAATTTCATACAACAAATAAAATTTAACTTAATATAATTAGACTATTTTTCATGTGCAAATATTTGGTAACCATTGCCTTGTTGCAAAATTAACTTTTTTTACATAAAACATATATATATTTCATTACGCAATGACGCCAAAAATTGTCAATAAAACAAAACTGTTTATGTACTTGTAAGTACACGTTTCAACTGTTGATGGAGTTTTCCATAACAACAACCTGTGCAATAAAATTATTTACAAAAAATTTGCAGTAGTCGATGAGAAATTTCTAACTTTTCCTAATATAGCGGGGTTCTTTCCGTAATAACTGTTGTATGAAGTTTAAATGAAGTAAAACCAAAGAAAAAACTTAACTTTAACTTATTTTTTTTGACGAAAAACAAAATGATCAAATAAAAAAATAAGATAAACAAATAAAAAAAATAAGTTACAGTTGACTCTCGATACCTCGAACTTTAATAAGTTACAGTTGACTCTCGATATCTCAAACTTTAATAAGTTACAGTTGACTCTCAATATCTCGAACTCTTAGGACACCGGAAAAAAAGTTCGAGATATCGAGAGGATTTCGGCTCAAACAAATACGCAAGGGACCGAAAATAAACTTCGAGAGTCAACTGTAACTAAATAAAAAAATTAGATAATTAAATAAAAAAAATTAGTTAACTAAATAAAAAAATAATAAGTTAACTAAATAAAAACTTAAAATAGTGTAACAGCCATTAAAATATAATCAAATTTGAAATATAAAATATAAAATATAAATCAAATTTGAAATATAAAAAATATTGTTTATATAATAAATATGAAATTTGAATAATGTTAAAATATGAAATAAAAATAAATATAAAAAATTCAAAAAAATCGAACTTATTTAAAAAATATATTTTATACGTTATTTTTGGAACCAATTATTGACAATAAATTCTGATATCAAGACTTTTAAAGTTTATCATTTTTCTAGATTTACCAAATAAGTATAAAATATTATTTATTAATACTATTTCAAAAATAAATTACACAAAATAAATTAAGATTTTTCAAAAATGAATATTTACCAATAAAACAAAAATACCATGAACTTATAAAATATATTAACAATTTTATTGTTTTAAAATAAAAATTTTCTTACATTGCTTATTTATAATCTCTTTCGCTCGCATAAAAAATTGTGAATAGGCAAGGCCAGAAAACCAGCAATTGTAATTCCATTAATATTTGCAACATTAGCCATACTCATAGAAAACTCTCTGTAATCTTCCTCTATCTCTTGAAATATCAAGTAAAATGTATTTACATAAACAGTACCTCCTAACAAACCTTCAAATAAGATAACAATCAATGTGATCCAAAAAGATCGAATAAAAACATAATAAACTTCTAAGAGTAAAAACAAGAGAACTAACCACTGGCAAAGTGCAGGAAAAATCACCTTTTTTATTTGAAATAGGTTTACCGACGATCTTGATATAAACACACCAATCTGATAATCAACTTGAAACCAGCGGTATTGACTAGCTTGACTTAACCATATATCGTAATAAAGCAACTCAAATAAACCTTGGTTAATTGTATATTCTGCCAAATATACAAGAAAGAGTGGAACCATATACTTAAGCAAAGGCTTTATTAGACGCACTTTTGCAATAAATGACATTTGTTTTGTTTTATCAAAACAACCTGGTTGTTTATCGTGTGACATGTATTCATTTTTTGTTTTTATGTCATAAGGAAATTTCAAAACTATCCAAAATGTAAACGCAAATAAAGCTGGCACAACAAGTAAAACAAGTAGTGTGTTATGGCTGGATAAACCTACCTGTCTCAAAAAAGCGTAAGATAAAGAACCACATACGCCAGCCATTCCTGTACCAGAAGACCAGGCAGAAACAGTAGTTTTCTTAAAATGAACAGATAAACTTAAAAACGTTATTTCTCCAGCACCTGAACTGATGCTGGCAAAAACAACGCCTAATAAACTTAGAAAACGACTTGTTGAAAAAGATACAGTAAGAAAGCTAGCAGTTAACAAAATTATAACTACTGCAACTCGAAGAGGATAACTAAACCGATTAATATAAAAAGGAGCAGTCCAGTTTACAATAAGCGATGGAATTATATCAGCAAGCAAAACAGCACCAGTGGATATAGGATTACAATGAAATCCATCAGTAGAATATGATTTAGTTGTGTTTGTATGAATTTGCTCTTGCAAAATATCATAGGCTGCACTCAACATAACAACATAACCAAAATTATTGCACAGACCCAATAACCAAAATCCAACAAGGTTTCTAAGCAACTCTTTGTCATTATTCTTAATTAATAATTCTGTGTCATCGTTTTCTTCATTATGGAAACTATTTATAGAATTGATTGTTTTTGCATCCTCAATCATTATTAAAAAATCTTTGTTTAGTTTGTTGTATTATTTGTTCAAGTACTTTAACCTTTTAAAAGAAATTAGAATGTAGAATTATAATGGATATTAAATGTATTTCATTTTGACAAAATATTGTGACAACATAACATAAAAAAACAATACTATTTATGAAAGCATGTTTTCAAAAGAACAAAACAAAAAAACCATCATATACATGCACAAAAAAATTGCTTATATACACATGTTGTTTTACATTTTTAAACAACAATTATACTTTATTGGAATTTTTCAATGTTTAAAATAAGTAAAAATAAAAGTCATTCGTAGTCTATTTTATCTTCATCATCATCATCATCTTTAATTATTTTTAACAATTTTACACCATTCTTTAGCAAAGGTTTTCCATCATCAGCTTTCATCACCTGATATTTGATTGAAAGAGTTGAACTTTTTTTTGACGTGTTAAATGTTAAAGTTTCGCATTGCTTTCCCAAAACCAAACAGTCTATCTGGACTATAAGATGGTATCCACTATCTTCAACTACAAATATAAGTGGAAGGTAATAAAAGCAATGATCAATAATAACTATCATAACATAAGACCACGACTATAATTAAAAAAACAAAAACTTCCAACATGTTTGTATGGGACAATACAACTAACCTAATCTGCATAACTACATGTGTCATAAATATTCATTTATGATACATGTAGTTATGCAGATTAGGTAGTTTAAAGTTTGTAGTTTCTCACCATATTATAAATATGTGTATGTGTGTATGTGTATATCTGTGTCAGTGTGTATCTTTATGTGTGTGTATACATTGCCTGGCAAAAGTTGCAGTCACTTTAAATTTCAATGTTTTTCACTTAAAATAACAGACATTCAATTTTAAAATTGTTTAAAAGTCATTTGATAATTCAATTACAGGGTTATTCATTTTTGTAAGTGCGTCTATTCATTCTTATATGCGTGTTTATTCAATCTTATATGAGCATTTATATCTCTAATATAATTTTATATAAATTTTATATAAAAATAAACTTTTATGTTTTTTTATACAGATATAATTACAATTTAAATTGTTGCCACAGTTATTTATTTAAAAAATGGTTGCCGACCCAGCGCTGGATTTATATAATAATTATAAATAATTAAATTTAAATCTAGATGAATGAATATTTAGATAAATAATAATTTATTCATTCAAAAAAATTAATAATAAATTAAACAAAGATCTTATACTAAATTAAATAAACCATTATCAAATGTAAAAAAGTCTTTGTCTTAAGTATTTTTAACCTTGCATGCAGTTTTTTCAAAACAAATTGTTTCCTGGTGAAGTATAATTAAAGAACAGTTTTGCATTTTAAAAAAAAAAAGAAAGGTTTTCTGTTTCTAATTTTGATTATTCTTAGATATTAAAGTTAAAAAGTATTATAAAATGTCAAAGAAAGCCGATTTATCACTAGAAATGTTCTGCAATTGTCACTTTAGCAAATAATGGTTGTTCTGCCAGACATATTCAAAAATTGTTGAAAATACAGCAACCAACAGTGAGTAATACTATTTGTCGGTTGAAATGTACTGGTACAAATAAAGATAGGAAAAGAAGTGGGCATACATATAAAACATTAAAGACTGAAGACAATCAGTATCCTACATCAACAACTCATTTGTGGTCAATTTCACAACATATGTGAAAAGATATTTCTCCAATTTATTTTGATAAACTAATCAAACTTATGCCAAAACTTGTATATGCAGCAATGAAAGGGTGGATTTTTTAAAATAATACCAAAATACATTTAATGCAAAAATAATAATCATTTTATATTAAACATAAGAAATTTTTTATAGAATTTTCTTTTTTACATATTTAGTTAAAAAGTATCATTTTCTTTGCAGTAGTCTCAAATTATAATTGTTAAAAAATAAATTAGAATATATTATTTCCTTTGCAGAAAAACCTAAAATGATAATTATTATCATTTTAGACTTTTTTTTTTTCATTTATTTAAAAATTATTATTAATATATACATACATATATATATATATATATATATATATATATATATATATATATATATATATATATATATATATATATATATATATATATATATATATATATATATATATATATATACATACAAATAGAATATACAAATAGAATATATATATATATATATATATATATATATATATATATATATATATATATATATATATATATATATATATATATGTATATGTATATCAGAGGCTATTCTAGACCGTTTTTGACAGTGTCGACCGTATTTGGGCGCCGCCCAAATAAAAATTTGAGGACCTTTTTTTTACGTTTTTTTTTTACGTTTTTACAGCAAATATTGTTTTTTTTGCAAAAAAAACCTGCAGATTTTCTGCAGATTTTTTTTTGTATTTTATTTGATAATCTAATTATGTGATTTGCGACTTTCATAAATTTTTTAAACATTTATTGCAATGTTTTCTTAATTAAACTAGGTTTTTTGTAAAGTGGCCAAATCACCTCATTTTGGATTTTTTTGAAAAATGAGGTGATTTGGCCACAAAACAAAAAATAACTTAATCAAGAAAACATTGCAATAAATGTTTAAGAAATTTATGAAAGTCACAAATCATCAAACTAGATTATCAAATAAAATACAAAAAATAAATAAAAAAAAGCTTTAAATTTGTAAACTTAAGTTAAGAATTACTCTTTTTTTTTTTTAATTATCTTCGCTTCCAATAAGGTTGCAAGCAACCACTAATTAGTGTTGGAAGATACTGGAAGAGAAAAGATGAAGATTGTAGAGCAAGATAACGATTGACAGACGACTTAAAAGATTGCAAATTATATGAATCAGGAAAGCAAGATGAAGGAAGTGAATTCCAAAGAACTGATGTTCGAGGAAAAAAACTAGACGAATAAGAGTTTTTGGAGCACTTAGGAACAGTAACAGAAAAAGGATGAGACTTAATTGAATGACGAGTAACACGAGAATGAATTTTAGTAGATGGCACAAGAGACGCTAGCTCTTTAGAGCAGTGCCCATTATAGTATTTGTAGAAAAGAGAAAGAGAAGCAACATTACGACGATGTGACAGAGGTTGAAGGTTGGCTGCAAGAGCAGGTCCAACTATGTTTACAATGCGTTTTTGCACCTTGTCTAAAAGAGAAAGGGCATCATTAGAAGATCCGCCCCAGATATGGCAACAGTATTCCATACAAGGCCGGATTTGAGATTTATAGAGATAGAGAATAGAATCCAGAGTAAGAAAGTGACGAGCTCGATAAAGAGAAGCAACTTTAGCAGATGCTAATTTTGCAACGGATTTGATATAAGGTTTCCAAGAAAGATCAGAAGTAAGAGTTAATCCTAGAAGATGAAGGGTAGGAGACTCATCGAGTACATTACCGTTCATAAATATAGGAAGGTCTAAATTATTGCGATAACGATTGGCCGAAAAAAATTGAGTTTTATCTGAATTAAAGTTCACCAGCCACTGCGAGCCCCATGCTGTAGCAGAAGTGAGATCCTTTTCGAGCTCAGATGCCCCCTGCAAGCAATCAGAGGGAGTTGGCTTCTTATCATGACAAGAATAAATGGTAGTATCATCAGCGAACAATGCCACCTTAGATGTGAGAATATCTGGAAGATCGTTAATGTAAATTAAAATTACTCATACAAGATGCACATTATATGTGAAAATCAGCAATGTGGCTTTAAAACTTTAACTAAAGTTTATTTAGTAAAATTAAGTTTTGAAAAATCAAAATATAGTGTAGTTAGACCATTTAACAAAAAAACCTAATTTAAACAACAAAACATTGAATACATGTTTATGAATTTAAAGGAAGTATGTTTTAAATCCTAAAACTAGATTTTCAAAAAAAAGTTCAAAATATAAATACAATAAAATCCTAAAAAACTGAAAGGCATCTCAATCTTTATAATGGATCTAAATACCTAGTAGCTTTTCTGTAGATCATTTTCTTGGAGGGTATTTGCTGAGATTAATCTTATCATAGTACATTACATTAAAAGGACAATGTCCTTGATCAGGTTGTGCAGATTGTTTAAAATAAATAACAATTCTTTACTTACAGCTGCATAGCTCATTAAAATGTTGGACCAATTCTCTGTAAAAATAGGTTGCGGTGTTTTTTTAAAATCTGTTAGCCTAATCTTGCCCAGAGAAGTTCATTTTTGTTGGTGAAGGAAATTTGAGGAACATTTGACAAAGTGTTTTACGCAGGCAAAACATATGATGAAACGTTCTAATGAAGCCAGATCCCAAAGCTCTTCATCCTGGTGATGAAGTTCTCTTTCATCCTGGTGATGAAGCTTTGGGATCTGGTGATGAAGTTCTCTTTCATTGCTTAGTTTTGAGTCATGACAAGCTCTTAATCAGCAGAAATAGCAGTTGAGCAAGGTGTCTACATATTTTTGATCTTACAACAGAAAATTTTTAAGAGTAATTCAAATACCAACCTTCAGTCACCTTGACTAAAAACAAAATCCGAAAGCGAAAAGGCATATGGTACAATCCTCCATTTAGTCAGAATGTGGAAACAAAAATAGGCAGTTGTGTACTTGCATTAATTGACCTGCACTTTCCAGTAAACCAGAAAATTCACAAAATATTTAATAGAAACTCAATCAAAGTTATAGCTGAATGCAAAATGTAAAGTCTATAATTAGTTCACATAACCACAAGATTTTAGATAGTGATACAAATGTGAATGCAAGAACTTGTAACTGCATTACAAAGACTGCTTGCCCATTGAACAATCCGTGTTTATTAAGTAATACTGTTTATCAAGCTACTGTGATTCATGAAAATTCTAATCCTAAAGAAAAAGAAAAAAATTATTTCGGCATCAGCGAGACACCATTCAAACTTATTACTTAAGATATGCCAATCATTTAAAATTTTTTAATGCTGTGAAATACAGAAATGATACTGAGCTTTCTAAGTAGATTTGGAGTTTGAAAGAAAAAAAAAACATAAAGCACACAATAAAGTGGAAAATTATAAAACACTGTAAACCTATTAAAACAACATCAAAAAATTGTAACCTCTGCCTTCATGAGAAATTTATCATTTTATATCACAAAGAAAACAACCTGCTCAAAAAAAAAGACGAAATATTATCTGTAGTGTCGACATTCCAACAAATTTCTACTGTCCTCTTTTGACACCAGAGACTAAATAGTTACATCTTTTATTACGTCAGAAGACGTTCTACCATAATTTTCAATTCATTTTTAAAAGATTTTGTTTTACAAATCATTTTTTCTAACAGTTTTTTTCTAACATAATCATTTTTTCTAACATAATCATTTTTTCTAACATAATCATTTTTTTTCTAACATAAACATTTTTTCTAACATAATCATTTTTTCTAACAGTTTTTTTTATGTATTTAATAGCTGATGATTGCCGTGTATGGCAGGAAACTTTAAGTACTATTAACAATGTTGTTTTTCATTTAAACAAAATTTAAATATATATATATATATATATATATATATATATATATATATATATATATATATATATATATATATATATATATATATATATATATATATATATATATATATATATATACACACACACACACACATGCACAAATAATTTTTAATGTATTCAACAAAATAGAGCATTAATAAATTAGTAGAAAATCACATCTAATTTTTTTCTTTTTTTAGATAGTGTTTTATCTATAAAGATTCATTAGAAATATTGATATATATATATATATATATATATATATGTGTGTGTGTGTGTGTGTGTGTGTGTGTGTGTGTGTGTGTGTGTGTGTGTGTGTGTGTGTGTGTGTGTGTGTGTGTGTGTCTATATATATATATATATATATTTATATTAGGGGTGTACCGATGCCTAATTTTGGACGATGCCAATGTCGATTGCTACAGGCCAATATTGATGCATTAGCCCTAAATTCGAATTCCTTTTTTTTTACTAATAGGTAAATTAGGATTTTTTAAAAACATAATATTAATGATCAATTTTAGTGCACGCTTATTTGCTAAAATTGTCTTAATGATTAGTTGCTTAGCTCATTGTCGATTTATTATATATATATATATATATATATATTAGGTATGTCCAAAAAAAAAAATTTTTGAATTCAACCTAGCACAGTATCTCATTTTGTTCCTTTGATGGAAACTAACTTTTATGCAAATTTTGGCATTTATATTTTGATATTTACAAGTTGCTCAATGGAGGTGAAGTTTAACAGTACAGATAAACTTGCCGCGGCTGCACTTTTTTGACTGAAATCTTCAAACTAGAATCACAAGATGATAAAATGTGATAGATACATTACTATTCATTTCAAAAAGACATACTGGTTATGACACAGACAGTGCAGACACAATCAGTCACACATTAACAATTTTTAATTTATCAAAATTAATATCAAAGAAATTAACAGCAATTTTTAAACATGTTCGTTCAGATTTTTATTGCATGCTCATTTATTGTTCACGTGTTCAAAGTTCAACTTATTTCAGTTTTCAAGCTTGCGACGTCTACCGAGGGGCATATGCCATCAGGGTGCTTTTCCGGTAATCTGGAATGCGCTTCCTGTTGTCCTCAACAACTTGGAGGAGTTTCTGCATTTCAGACTCTGTCTTTGTTATTGACTGGTTTAAAGAACTCATCAGTGCAATAGAGCGCTCGGCAGTATCATTGATAACCTTGAGAGAAGCAACAACAGCTTTGGTTTTTCGAAATGAAGCACTTTCTTCCCAACTCGGGGGCTCAAGTCCTGACAAGGTAGTTATGTCAAGTCCAAGTGACTGCAATGCAGCTGTTGATGATGATGTTACCAGTTCATGTAGTTGCTTTTTCTCCAACTCATTACATTTTGATACTGGAAACTTGTTTCCCCTGACACTCCAATCATCTCCACTGAGGATCATGGCTTCCGCAATCAACTTCTTTTCTTCATCAGATACTTTACTGGAGAACAGTGAAAGAGGAACCATTTCTGTTCCAAGATACCACATGTGATTCTGCAATTTCTTCAAAGCTGCTTGTGAAACAATCTTGTGTACCTCAGCATATCTTTTTATTCTCTGAAACAGCATCAAATCATTTAATGGTGCATCACTTGCCACTGGACAAGCAATCCAAGCTGGTACATAAATGTGAGCTGCAAAAATGCAAAATTCAGACAGGTTTTTCACCTCAGTTGAAGTCAGTTTGAATTCATTCCTGAACAGGAAAATCTTCATGCAATATATGACCTTTGCCATCCATCTTGCCATATGGTAGGCACCCGGCTGTCTGAAATGATATGGCTTTCCACCAGCTGGATGGCTTGGTAGTGTGAAACCCAATATCAAGAGGCAAAGTTCAATCATTTCCTTGTAGTCCTCTCGTGGTAGATATGACGTTTGACCTGACAGAAAAGACAGCAAGAAAGGACCAAATTCTGCTCTGAGTTGTTGCAGCTGTGGAACTGTAAGTCGCGTATCATCAAGTGGAACAAAGTTCATTTGGTCAATAGTTGGCCAAGACTGCTGAAAACGTTCAAATAGAGCAATGTTTGGGCCACGGCTTGGGCCAAGCAAAACTGTGAACACTTCACCAATAATCACTTCATGCACATGGTGTCGACAAGCTAAGTATAGAAGGTTTCTCCCAATTAGTTGTTCCAGCAAGACACATGCACCATTTTTGGAGCCCGTATTCGAAGCTGTGGTGTCAAAGCACATGCCAACGATTTCACTATCAACATCCCATATTTTGGCCAACTGGAATGTTGCCTTGGCTTGTGCTACCCCAGTGCCCGCTGGAAGCTTGACAATTCCCAAGATTTTCTCCAAATCTACACCAGTCACACTAACACCAATTCTGTCAACATTGGACTTTGGATCCTCTAAGTTCGTGCTGTCTCGCATGATTTTACCGTCCCAGTGGACCACCAGAGGCGGTTTTTCACTGGAGAGAAACTCCTGCCGAATACAATTTTCTGTTGAAGATCGGTGTTCAATACGTTTGCGACGTACTGTTGATCTTGACAATGGCGTGCTTTGTAGGTCCTGTCCACTGGCTTTAGCAATTGCTGCTGCCAAAATTGTAAACTTCTGGTCAGATAAATTTATGCGATCAAGTGTTGATGAAACATCTGGTGACGACAGAATGTTCTCCAAAATGCGTGGTCTTTTGTTAACTGTAGTCCATTCATGTCCAGCATCCACTACCTCACATAGCTGCTTCTTGTGATATACTGGTATCTCTATTTCGTAATCATCATCTTCAATATCCTCCTCTTCTGCTCCGTCACTGTCGCTTTCAAGACCATGATTGTGATGGCTGCTTCTGGCACTTGCATCTCTCCTTTCTTCCTCACGCTGTTTCCTTTCAGCTTCAGCCTGTCGACGCTGTGCTGCTCGCTCTTCTTGTTGTGATAATCTTACACCTTCTCCACTCATCTTCATCATGCGAGCATTCCGCTGATCCTCCAAAAACAGCTTGTCTTCATCGATTTTGATTAATGTACCTGTATCTTTGTGAGCAATATCAAAGAGTAGATTCAGTTTGTCTTTAAATGCTTTTTCTCTAGCTAGCTGTGATTCACTTTCTCTTCCTTTATTCTTCTTGATCAAACTGTATTCATTAAAGCATACCTTCACCTTTGACACGATATGTGGTTGATAGGTCATTGGTATCCGTGCCTTGCTCCAAATTTTTACCAAATCAGATGAGGTTGACTTTGCACTGGCAGATACTGTCTGTTTTATTGTTTTGTGGTA